GAAAGAGCGGGAATTCTCGCGTAAAATAGCAGACATTTTTGAAATAGCGGTAGCTTGTCATTTGAAGCGTCGGTATCGGAGTCCGGCGAGCGGCGAGCCGCGGCGATCGCTGTAAATTTCATCGCAATAGTGAATGTACACGCGAGACTAAAAATAAACATGGCGGCCACAACGGGCGTAGTCAGGCGATACTGAGATAACTGCTCCAGCGTGTATCGCCTACAACAGATCCGTACACTGTGTTGTCACATGTGAATACGCTTCACACAACATTTATTGTTTAATTAGTTGAGTTAAATTTAGTACACATTGCGTCTTTTGAGTGGGCGCCAACGTTTTATTTAAACGGCTACACTGATTTCGGTGGCTTAGGCGATATTTACAAATGTCTATTTTCATTGCAAAGTACACATTTCATTAAGAAAATTAAAAATAAGCTCAGGCTTGATCTAATATTGGAAATGAGAATGCCGAGATTTATACTTAAAAGAATTATAATGGCCTTAAAGTTTTCACAGGAATAATTTATGGGATTTTACTACGGCTTGAAGTCAGGCACGCAGAAAAAACAAATTTGAATCTTAAAACATTCGTGATTTAGGCTTTTGAGGATTGGCGGAATTGAGAAAGGTTTGGTCCTCTGGTAACCTCACACATTCGTCTAAACACAAGGCGAGCCTTGTAACACGCCTGTTTTATGTGAGAATGTGATATAACTCTAGTCCAGCCTGCCTATTCGTGCCGAAGCATGGCTATCCCACACTATGTCTGACAAGCAAAATAATCTTAATGAAATGTAAAGTGAAACGAATTTTAAAAAGAGAAATACTTTTTTTCTTACAATTAAAAAAATGAATAAGGGTAACCATGTTATTCTTTAATTTGTTAATGTGATCTGGTAAATGTTAGTTTGGAAATATAAGAAAATAGTTCAATTTTACGCAAGCGGCATAAGCGTGGCAAGGAGAAACAAACTCGATTGAAGAGAGGAACGAAGCTATGCCCGTTGGATTCATCTCGGCCAGATCACGTTCGTGGAACAAAAGGAGCGCGCGGCGAGCCGACACAAGCAAAACGAAGAAAAAACTTACGTTCAAATGGAGCTTTTCATACTTAACCAACTTCGTACACTTACAGAATATTCCAGATGACGCAAGCGTCTCATGCGCCGAACATCTTTAATATTTGTGTACGCATTCGCAGTACAAATATATTTCAGTAGTAGAATGTGCAAAAAGATTTCAGGGAAGCTAACCGTGAATACCTTCGGCACAACAGAACGAACAAACGCCAGCTCAAAATGTGCAATGTGACAACTCCATGCAGCATTAAGAAGACATTAGGGGTGGGGTTAGGACGACGACAGAGGGCGCATTATTTAGCAATTTATCACGTATTCGATAGCAAAGGAATATGAACTTTCTGTAACTGTTCCGTGTTTATTATTTCAATAGTTTCTAAAACGGACATTTTACTTCAAGGCAGGCTTACTCAAACTGTAAATATTTGATCCTTGTGCAAGGGGGAAGATCCAATGTAAGAATGTTTGTGATACATCAGAAAGCAAACACTGCTGTCACTTCGCTTGTCGTGCTACAATGACTCGCCTGAAATCACCGCGTGAACCTTTCATCGCGCGTCACTACGAGCTTTCAAAAAGCTTTCAGTGGTTGATCGCGCGCACTATGATTATGAGTGTTGCCAATATACGTTTCGCGATTGGAGTTATGGCAAGTATGAATAAATGTGGAATGTTGTGTACTGGTATTGTGTAAGTTGACGCAATGTCTACCACGTTAACCTCTCAATTTGTATGGGTTACTGTGGCTTGCCACCAAGTGCGGTTGCCAAGCGCCCGCAGCGGAAAATTTGGCGGAAACCGATCGACATCGCGGCTCAAAACTATGCATTTTAAGTCAAATCAATCGATACGTGGTCGGATGCACACGTGTGCTAGTTGTTTATGTGCCACAAAAACCACAAAGTTTTGCGAGACTGCCAAATGTGGAAGTACATACTTCGTATGAAGTGGCTTTTAGGGCTTCCCATGAGAGGAGTTAGCTTACGTTAGTGGACGAATGGGGCACAACTCACGCGGCGTCATTATCGTTACAGTTCAGTGGTCGGCGCCAATTTGAGCGGGTATGTAACGAGCACTGCGACCACACCAGTCCCAGGACTTACTTAATTGAGCTCTCCACACACTCAATTTCTTTATATGAAATTTCAAATGATATTCAGATATTATGCCATTCATAATATAAGGAATTTGGCTTGAAGTTATATGTTTGGTGGTAACTTTGACAATATGTAAAAATAAACACTTGATTCGTGTTTAGACGTTGCTAAACTAGTATTTGCATTGAACAACAAAATTTCGGAGTGTAGTAGTGACGTATACAGAACTATCGTCGAGGTTGATGGAGGTAGATGGCCCATGGTAGAGCCGGGTACCGGAGCGTGCCTGCTCCCGCACCCATAAATATTTTACGGTGCACTCCTTTATGGTATTGTGATTAGATTGTCGCGCTGCTTGAGCCACGCGAATCTATGATATACATATGGATGTATATGTATATCGAATTCCGAATGATGTGAACGCCTTAAAAGTGTATCAAGTATTTCATTATCATACATTACTTTGCTACAAATGTTAATTTCAGGTTGTCATCGTGGGAATTCTCATATGCATGTTTAAGATTAACGCGCAAATCATCTATTTCTGAGTAGGACTCGCAGCAGCGAGGTGTGACAGAATAGCACGGTTATATTTTTGTTCCAACTTCCAATATTTGAATAATAAATATGGAATGGTACAGGGTGCTTCAGATAGTGTTCGATCTAGCCAAGCAGGGGCGCAAGCGAACATGATGTCTACACGGTGTCGGAGAAGGGGAAGTGGTAAGGTCGCGTTACGCCGTTTGAAAGTGAGATGCGAGGCGCCAGGAGAGCAACAAATTAAGTCCCCGCGGGGAGCGGCTGCCCGCCCACGCCCGCGTTGAGAGCCCGCCCGCGATAACGTCTCGCCGAAGGGAAAACTTGAATATTTCCAACGAATTACGTAACCAAATTCGCTGAATAAAAGTTCGCGTACGTGCCCCGACAACCGGCAAAGTATTATTGAAGTTCTCTTTACATTCTAATTAGGAGTTTAGAAGCATTTAATCGTTGAATATGTCGCCTTCAAGAATCCATTTCACGTGGAAGTTTATATTGAATACAGTAATTGTACAAGTATCTGCTATCAATTTGTTTGTAAGTGACTTCACTGCTCCAGTAAATATGTTAGCATTCCCAATTCCCAACTTCACTAATATATCACATAACATATTATGTCAGCACTACGCTCTGACTTACTCAATTACTTTTATTCATACATCTAGCTTTCAGTCGTCGGTAATGTAGTACGTGTAAAAGTTATATTATATAGACTTTTACAGAATAAAAATATTGGTAAAATTAATTACCATTTTATTGGAAAATTTAAGAAACGGTATATTGTAAGTTTTTTAAGTTGTTCATTAATTTTGTTGTTTATGTTCATTATGATCATACAAATATTTAATGTTAAGAGCATACAACATCTGATGAAATATTTTATTTTATTGGCCAATATTCCCTTATTTTATATTACGTTATTTGAAAAAGTTATAGTCGTTTCACGAGAGAAATAAAACTCTTACCGCAACATAAACTTTATCACATAAAGTCATAAATATTTTGTACCAATATCACTTCCCCCGTTTGAGGTGTGGCATTGGCGTTCGTTCTAAATGTGAACTTTAAAGTTTATTGATATCAAAACATTTTTTTTTTATTCCAAAGCATATTTATTTCAGTGACGTTTAACCTGCACGGTTGATACTCAAACACATAATTACATTGCTAGATATAATGTTATCTTTGTGCTGAATTAAATTATTGCGAGATGAAGAACATTATAAATCCACGGCGAATGCCTGCATTTGAAACAACGCTGGATATTAAACGAACAGATTAAACAAGCGAGAAATAATAGACGCACGATACAGTTAATGACGGACCCATAAAAAGAAGGAAGAAATCTGCCAATAGCAAAGCTTAAGCGAGGATATAAAATTAAATGGGTAGAAGGCGTTTTTACAAGTTTATCGAGCGTTCCACATCGGGCAGACGTGTAATGGGCTCGCAGGCGCCGCGCACGCTGCCTGTCTGTCTCGGCGGCCAGTGACGTGCGCCCGCCCGCCAGACCGTATGAAACCGACATTTAGACCTTACCAATTTCCGATCGATAGCTAGCTATGAAAACGTTTCACTTATGACATGTCACGATATGTTACACTTAGGATGGTGGAGCGATAATAGATTAAACAGTTCCTTATGAACAAGTTCCTTATGTAGTGAGAACAAAAAGGTCGGAATGGGGGCTACTTACACAGACCGGCGCGGTTGGCTGCCCCCTCGCTCCGCTTTTAATGCGGATTTATCGACTCAAATTAATCGTGTAAGTAGAGAGCCAGTCGAGGAAAGTTGCGTGAAACGCGATAAAGGACCTCAATTCGTTCGAAAAGCCGTTCATTGCGATTTAACTAAATTGACCTTCGTTTACTATTAACCTGCTGGAGTGATCTGATTGAAGAGTATTTAACGTAAATATCTTAGAACCAAATACAAAAATTGTTCAGATATAACTTCCATACTTAAAAAGTTGAAGTGGCAGCTACTGCGCTTTTCGTAACTGTCAAAGGATGACCGTCCGCTGGAGTGGACGACATTTTGACTGTATAGTATACAATCACTCACTACGAGACTAACTCTCACCAGTTCGAGTCGCATTTTCGTTAATAACAGTTCAATTTATGCATATTTATAAAAATTACCTTTCTGTAACGATCCCAAAATTAACTAATCCTTGCATTATGCGAGAAAAAAAACACATGAATTTGTGGGTATTTTATTTAATTTTCAATCATATTTTTATACAAATAGTGATTTATCACATCTTTATATAAATATCAAACATGACACAATTCGACCAAAACCATATGACAAAGGTATGTTTTGTAAACATCAAGTAGCATGGCGATGCGGTTTCGGGTGCGATGTCGAACGCGACTGGGTCTCCGGAACGACACGTCAACCCACAATCTCATTTGTGCTTCCCACTACAACGAGCGACACGTAGGAAATGAGATGCGATTAGCTTACCCAGCCGGCGAACATTTGCTCTGTACATCGGCACAACATTCACATAAATTTAAAATAGCTGTGACAACAAACCCGTAAGGAAATATTGCCTGTTTATCAGCTCAGGTACACCCTACTTTACATTTAACATGTTCCAAAGAAGATTTAACTTTATAAGGCACACAATCGCCCTAATCGAACCGTTTCACTTACACATTCAAATGCAGTAAGTTACCATTGTGCGCTCTCTTGACTTTTGATAAATGATCCGATTAAAATGAGATTGCTGATAGTCTCTTTTTAGTTTTAGTATTTTCGTACATACCTGATCGAGAGAAATTGAAGAATGCTGACGAAGGAATTTTGAAACGATGGTATAAGATATGGTTGTTATACAGTTTTCTTTAAACTGAGTGTGGAAGTAAAAAATTCGAAGTCCATATTTAGTTTAAAATTAAAAGAGACGTGTTTCATGGTCAAGCTGGCTAATAACTAAAACTCACAAAAGATATTTAAAACAGAATAGTTTCGTAAAGTTTTGGAATAGAAAATACTTCTCAAGGAATAGCTGTGTGTTCTTCGAAGGGGAGTGGGAGTGATTCCGAGCCGCTTACACTGGCACCCGCTTCGGGACTGCATAATACATTGCGGAGAATGCACCGCAGTTTGATCCTTTTCTAGACAAGGTAAGTACGACTGTACCTCGAGTGGAAAGTTCTCTTGATGTTACCTCCACTTTTCTACCAAGTAAGGACATGAGCTAGTAAGGGGGCTTTACGGTTTCAACGTAAATTGACAAAGTTTTGAGTATGACATCTCTTTGTCTTCTTACAAAGGAATATCGACCATGTTCAATTATTTATGACTAATTGTTCTTACAACTTTGGAAGTGCAAAGTTCGGGCGAAGGTATTAAAGGGATACGTAGAAACTTGTGGGGGAATAATAAAGGCATTTAGAGTACACAGTCGAGACATTGTCAATAACGTACCTTTCCATGGTAGTAGTTTCCAATGGTGCAAATCAAATTTGAAATACATTAAGATTTACACTTTGAAGTAGTTTGAGGCAGCGAAACAATCTTGCTTCGGTCGTTAAAAAGGAATGTTAAAGAATTTAGTTCCTGGCCACGTCCACGCTAACTCTATCGCTCGTAAAAGTTTCGTGTGTGGATAATAAATATAATGTTGTTTTTACCCGAAGAGACTCCTAAAACGAGTTGATGTTTCTTTAAATCAGCATTTAGTAACAAGACTAGAATGTATTTACTTCTACACGCTCACTTTTAATTTTCGCCTTCAACAAATAAAGACTCAATTTAATCAATAAGAATTCAATTGTTTGGTTATTGTACATACTGAACAATGCCAAGAAAGACAAGGTCTTCGAATTATAGCTGTCAAGTAACAACAGTTAATTTTGGTCTCTGTTCAATTATAAATTAGAAAGTTACGTCGGAATGTTTAATTAAAACAAGAGATAAAATATTGCAATGACATATTATTTTGACATGAGTTTAATTTGATACAATTTGTAGATATCTCGTTTCTTGAAAATTAAAGGAATACTTTTTAATTACAACAAAAACCTATTTTTCAAATACTATGTTCTGTAAGCAGTGCTCAGTCTTACGCTCTAGTTGCGTCTTCAAGGAGAGGCAATCTGGCATTTATTAATGTGGATCGGGCTGGCAGGCTCAGACAATGGCGCGCATGTTTCTCCGAAATTGTGAACCGGCAGTGAAGAGGACCTGGCCTTCGTTGCACGTACAAAAACCTTCGGTAAACGACGGTCCACATAAGTAATTCAGAAGGTACGATTGTACAAATAAATAAAACTAACTAATTTTCTTTCATGCATACCTGAGACCAGAGTTTTACCTTTGTGCTTACATCGATCTGTTAGTTTAAAAGTTAGTTAAATGTAACGACACGCACACAACTTCAATTAAGCTGACAAAGGAAGGTGTTTTTAAGCGACATCGTGCAAGGTTAACTAGTGTTTCCTCGTTTGACAAAAACCATTTTGTTCGGAATCCGATTTATGTATTATTAAATGTCTCTAGTAACCTTGTTGGTCTTTTTAATATTAATAGATTAATTCCTAATTTTTGTAACTGTCATCAAATATTGTGTTGTATGTGTTAAATCAAAAAATAGATTAATCAATAAAGTAAATCGGGTTCTGTATTTTTATGTAGACAATTTTAAAATGATTAAACATAAGTATTAATGAACAGCGGCAAATTTTGGCGATACAATCGACAAAACGTAGACTAATGGCGGAAGGTGATATCCAAATGAAAGTTTCATTAAAAAAAAGTCCATGAAAACATTGAGAAAACTTGAGCCATTTTGCTGAGCAAAAGTTACGAAAGATAAGCGAGTAAGATCTTGGTATTTTGCCAAGAGAGTAATCATGAAAAATATGACAGAGAAACAGTGCGATATTAAAATATGAAATAAATTTTCAGCTAGACAAAATATTACGAAAGGATAGCGAAGTAGGTAGTGTTGATTTATAGTGAGAAAAGGTATGCGATTGATTTGTCATTACGATTCATTACCACTTAAGAACTAAGATAAAAACTTACTTTGAAGAGAGCTCCTTTACAATGGTATATGACTCCGGGCAAAATCTGAAACAAACACCACGTATGTTATTAAAAAGTTAGAATATCGTTGGATTCGTCATAATTTTTTTTTTTACTTTTGTTTTGATCGTACATTAACTAAAACGAAAACTCGTATAACTTTGTTTAAAGTTAACGATAAGCAGATAAGATGAATTGCTAAACTGATATTATTCTTTGAACAAATTGGCGGTTGAATATAAAACTAAACCAATTACAAGTTTTCCAATATGCCCGGCAAATTATACCAATGTTAAACTCGCAATAGCCTCTCTACACGGTTTCTTGCAGACTTCTCCTCAAATTGAAGTTTGGAGCGTTCGCGACGCACTTGGCCTGATTTATACACACACACAGGGACATTAAAGACACAACCATCCTACATGTGCAGTAGGAAGCATTTTAAGTCAATTGTGTTGCGATGCGTAACTTTAAACGCAGTTTTTTATTGTATATTTTTACTGCTTACAGTTTTAATCAGGTTTTGGCAAGTATTGCGATATTCCGGAATCATTTCATAATGCACTAATGTATTTTATAAGTTTTGCTTTTTGTGAATAACAAAAACGTTGCGAATTCCCAAGTCGAGAGCTAAAACAACAAATCCGTACGGGACCCTGCAGTGTTTGCTGTGCAATCACGTCGCTATTCTAGTTACATAATTCCCTTTTGCAGTTTACAACGAAAAAGCTGCGCTTAAAAACTCCATTACTGGGCGGCATTCGTTTCGCCATGACACAATACGCGTTAACCGACAAAATGAGAGCGTCGCAGCTAGTTACGGAAATAAAAGCTGTTATTATGAATCGCTGCGATGGGTGCGCGGTCGGTAGCGGCGCGGGCGCGGGCGGGGCCAGGTAAACACTGTTATTTGCATTACACGCCCCGGCCCTTGGCTAGGATTTGTGACATCCGCCGGTAAGCTCAGCGAGCGCTCTCTCGCGGCAACTCTAATTATTGTTGAATTCATTACGGAAACGGCGACATGTACAAGATTGGATTTTGTACAAATATCTTTACAAGGTACATTACCTTTTCTCAGTATGCGATTGCTATCTTATTGTTAAGCGTAATAGTTGCCTAGCGGAGCGAACTCTGCGACCGTAATGGTGAGATACCATACTGTAGGGGAAAGTCATTTATTAACTAATTAATGCAATAAAACGGTGGTTGCTTTTTAGAATGCTTGTTTAATTTAATTTACACGATTGAAGAGTCACATTCTCACAGAATTGTTAAAAATTGTAGGTGCAAGAGAACAAAACGGGTGTTAATAAGTAAAAGTGTGTATAAAGTTTCGAGATACGACTAATAAGAGCTAGTGAGGCGCGAGGGAGTTAAAGCAAGCTTGTTGAGTGTGGAGGCGGCCGCAAGTGTGCAAGTTTCACGCTTGCGGCGGTAGCGTGTAACGCGTCTTTTTACAGAACGTCTGAAATGGCGAGCGGGCGCATTTAAAAGCATGAGCTAGTTCCGTACGGGCGCGACAGGTCGGAGACAAAGGCCTTACACATTCACACAAGCATCCCCAGCAATTGAATTTTCAGACATTTTTACATTGTGAAATATTTTTCTGTTGTGCTCGCAATCTGTAGAAGAAACCTTAGATACTTTTTTTTAATGTTATTCAACGTGCTATTAGATAGATATATATTAACTACCTGCAGTTAAGTCCTTAGATATAGTTTATTTATAGTTTGAGCTTGGTGTTAAAAACCTATTTGCTTATCTCTTGTGACCTGTGGACTGGAGATAGATAACAATTGAGCAAGCGCAGGCTAGACAACAATAGAGAAATCACACGATGGAATAATTGTCTTTCAGAGTGTTCAGGCTATTCATACCTATATAAATTTAAAAGTTTTGAAATGTCAAAATTATTTTCAAAAAAGCAATTTTGAATTTGAACCTTAACGGTGAGTAAGAAATATAATAAATGTCAATGACTGCAGAACCCATAAATGTAATTTTAATTTTTGTTGTAAAATATCGTCGCGGGTACATTGACTTACAAATGTTAGTTAAAACTATGAACTTAATTTTAAGATAAACAGGATAAATATTAATGATTACAAAGTTATAGCTAAAACTTTCAGTAAGTAGTGTTATTAAAACAATATTTTCCAAGAACATGTTGCAAAATACCAACTTAATATGCGAGTTAGTCGGTTTATTAGCATAGATGGGTGTAGCAAACTTTTGTATTTTCAGAAAAAACTTTAAAACAAGAATTTTATTAGTAAAGTTATATAACGCGCTTTCAAAACTCAATCGAAGTGCGCGGCACGTCGTACGTAAAACTCGACGAAAGTATGACTATGACAAAAGCACGTGCGCACCCGAACCTTCCAAACTTCCCGAAGGACAACGCGACGTTATTTAGGGGCGGTTCTGAAAGGCAAGGTGTGTCGTCTAGGGCCCAAGGGAATTCACTACGCTTTAAAGCTGGTAATTTGATGTGAGTCTTTCGAGATTTTTCCATCTTCCCGGGTCGTTCGGGGAGCGGGCGGATTAGGCCACGCACGGCATGGGCGAGGGCGGCGACGCGCCAGATTAATGTCGCGAGCTTTGCGCCAAATTTAAAATGTCACGTTCCATTTTTCCAGCCAACAGAGCCCGTCAACGACCCGAACAGTTAATACTTCCGATTGCACGCATTCCTTATGAAATAATTTATGGACATAAAACAATGTTACACGCACAGGCCTCGTAAGTAAATATTTATGCTTGTATTCAAATTAGTTCTTATATATACGTTCGTTTATGAGAATACATGCTCATAAACATTCAAACAAAAATAATTTCAATGTTACTTAACAAAATAAGCAATCTTGAGATGACGATGCGATAAGACGAGAGACAGAAATGTTGTCCTTGAGACAAATAAAAAGAAAAACTGTCTGAGGTCAATGATTCCTATGTGTGTCTGTAGCACACATACGCACGTGTATAATGTCTAAAGTGTAGTCAACATGGAAACAGGGCGTAGGAAAAAAGGCAAAGTCGTAAAACTGGCGCCCACCAATCGCCAAATAAGGCCGGCGAGGCACCGGCGAGCCGCGCGGCGTCGTCCTTGACTCCCGGCCAAATGACATAAGTTGGCCCATGGGCGCGGATTCTTGACTAATCGATAAACAAGACGGAATGGATGAAGAACCCAAACGTTGAATCGCCGCACCCACGCTAAGCTATTAACTTACAAACTAATTTGGCCATCAATCCATAAAACTGTTGAATCAAACGCAAAAACCATAGACAATAGCAACAAGGCCGATTTGGTTTGTGCAGTTCAAATATGGTGGACCAAGTCATGCTCACAATTTCATCTATCGCTATGAACAATAGACAAGTTCATAATCATAGTTAGTGTTATAACATCTTTCTTAACACAGACTGGCGGTGGTGACACATAAGTCTGAAACTTTTCCAATTTTCATATTCCGCCAGTCAAGTCAACATTCATAAAGAGGCCTAATTTTAATAATTTCACATTTATAGTATATGGAGTGCGTGTCCGTATCAGCCATAAAATGTGCGTGCGGGTGAAAATTGATGCGTAGGGATATGGTGTAAATTTAGAGCTTATTATCGTAGCCTTGAAATTTGATAGGTCTAATGGGCATAGCTTGATACACTTTTTACACGATCGCAGCTTACAGTTTGTTTTATTGTCTTCAGCATTCACAAGAAGCGTAACTAAACGAGTTGGAGAAATCTTAAACATTGCCTATTTAAATGCGACGACGCGGCAGGACACCGCTCTGTTAAGTTCGTTACCGAAGTTCATGTTGTTTTGAAAAATGGAAATACTAGCTTGAGCTATCTAATAGTCTACAAAGTTTTTAACGGTCGAATATATAGTAAAGTGTTATGGCGGTACCACATTGTAGTTAAACGGGCTCGCTCGTATCCGCAGCTAGGCAGCAAAATGATGCTTGCTGACGCCTAATGAAAAATAGCGCCATCCTAAATACAGAGTTAATTGCAGCTTTAATGAAATTCCGAGGGTGTTATGTAGCGGCACAACAAAGTAAGATAACTTGCAACAGGCAAAGGCAATAGCAGGATTAGCATGCAGGGCGGCTGGCCTGGTGTCAAGTTCATTGGCGAGTGCCCACGTATCCACGTGCTCGCCCCCGTGCTGCAAGGTGACTGACTTTACCATACAACATTCATGACGACATGTATGGTGAGTAATTACATGTCTGTGTAATGCCATCACGGCCAATGACTTTTTAATCTCTAATCTCATTACAAGTCTAAGCATGTTGGCGTGCAACTTCTTACTATTTTTTAGACAAAATGAAAGTTGTTATCTTTTCGCGAATAATAGATAGTGACATCGAAACAGTTCATTGTACGATAATAGCAACCAGCTTAATGCCTTGAGTATTATAGAGACAGAGTCTTTTCACAGCTGGTATCAATAGTTTGCGCACAATTATTAGTGTCACAATATTTAAAAAAATTCAAAGCTTTTGTAAAACTAAAATCTATTTCGGCGAAAAAATATACTTTATTCCGATCATTAAACAGTTTAACAAATTCACATAAGAGCTTATCAATTTAGTGAAGTGACGATGCAATCCTGAGCCTGTATGAGAGCTTTCCCCAGCACCAAATCAATGATTCATCGATCAATAATTGAACAAAGCGCATTAGTGAGGCGATCGCTAAACGTCCACTTCGCCGGTGAGTAAACACCGCGCGGTGAACACGAAGGCGTAATCCGTAGGGCGGCACTTAGCGCGCGCCACAAGCTCCGCACTCTAATTGCACACCAACTAATCTGTTTGCGTTTCCAACGCATTCAATCACCCATTTCACATGATAGGCAATTTTCCACTACCAATTACCATAAACATTCTTTTATAAAAAACACTTAACAATGATAAAAAAACAACTACACTCGAGTGTTAGGTACCTGCCAAAAATCACAGTAAACAATTTCGATAAAATGGAAAAGTTCAGAATAACCATTATCATTTGATGCGCTTGATAACGCCATGTTAAAGCGCAATGCGCCCGCGCATCTGTAATCTTTGCGGCGCGGACATTGCACCAATGACATCATCGGTGGATAATGTTCACGAAATAAAAACGCGGACTGCCATATTTTCTTTGTGACTGTTGTTATGAAGTCTCAAAGTTAATTAAAATATTAAAAATAACCAATTCAAAGTAATATGATTCTTACGCTACATACATAGTTATAATGGCTTAATAAGTACCACATTATTTATGAAACATAGCAATCGATTTGATAATATTAAAACATCAATATGAAATGTAACGAATAACGGATATTGTAAACACATCATGTCTAACAGAACAAATAAAATAACAAATCAGAATACACATAACTGTACCCGAAAAAAAGCCTAATAACTTGGAATTATCATTGACAACATATACAATACACTCCCTCCAACACAAGGAAAAAGTAAAGGGGTACTTTATAAGTACAATACGTGCCCTACTCAAGCGAAGGTTCGACGAGTGTTCACATTGTTGGTGATTTCTTCGAGACGAGTTCAAGAGCCCGCCATCTAAAAAGGTACACATTCGATTTGAAATGTCACCAATATCTAATTTAAAGCGATCTCAATGTATCACTTTCATTACATGCCACGCTTAACAGATTCTTTCAGACCTATTGTAATGATTAGTTTTTTTTGTGTTTGTCCGAAACTAACTTTCGTAATTGTATTAGTTTTGAAACGAAAAGTAATAAAAAATAATAGTTAAGTTTTATTGTTACCCGCATTTTACTACAGCATTATTACACCTTTTCATAGAGAGTTTGTTCCTCTATTCGTAAATTGTGTTAACAGAAATTGCTAGAAATATTCCGTCAGTTTTATCTGACGGTTCTATAAATTTCACAGTACGTTTGAAGTTGTGAAATATTTTAGCAAATGCTTTAAAACAAAACACTAACTAAACAGTTCGTTAAAACAATGCAAATATTGTCGTAAGACTGTCTCAAGAAACAAGAGGATAGCATAACTAGTGTTGATTCACAAACGATTGAATTCGTAGTGCTTCACACTGACTCGGCGACGCCAACAGTCTTACTCACTCATCTTTCGTTGAATCACATACAGACGATCAACATTTTTGTAGACCGGAGGAGAAGATTTTTTCCTATTTAAGAAGTTCGTTTACTTCAATATAAGTAGCTGACGATGACAAATTACTTACTTTATGAAAACTGTCCAAAAACTAAGTATCAAAATTAGCACCTATGAGTTTGAAATCTACACGTGATTTTAGAACATGTTTTTCCAACTATGTACGGTACAAAGTATATCGTCATTGGTAAGGTACCTACTGGAAGCCTTTCGAATTCAAGGAGGTAGCTATTTGATGAAGATATATGGGCAATTGTGATGCCAATGAATCTTGTCTGCAAAATTTTAAAACATTGTGTTTAATGTTGTGTGTCGCCTGACAATGTATCTATAAATATTTAGTGATAGATTTATTCTTCAAGTTGCTGAACCACGTATACAGTACTGAATCTGAGTCCGAGGACTAAATTACACACTGAGTAATCGGGTGAGTCTGCTGTTCGTCTCGCTCCATGATTTCGTTTTATAGCCGTTATTTTTTGTTCGTTTACTTTCAAGAGACTGATTCTCTATTTAAGTATCCAAGTAATTTGTATTTGTCTCAGTGCAAGGCATTCGTACACATACACACAGTACTCAGTGAATAAACTGCATGAGCAATTCACTATTCTGTGTTAAAATGGTTTTGTTGTGACACGAATGAGTCGATTCTGCGTTTTAAATAAGATAAATAAGCATTTACATAAATCAAATCAAATATCTCAGTGAATCGTCTACGCAGCGATGAAACAAACAGATTTAGCAGGGCAACATTATTGCAGTGGAAAATGTTCGAGCTGACGAATTGCAATAGCGCATTTGGCCTTCGGTTCTATTACAGTTAAAAGTATGACTCAGTCCGGTTGCTACAAATCAAACTGCCGACGTAGTCATAGGTATCCTTTCTCAGACCGAACCTGTTTTAATGGTTATCCCACATTATTAGTTGCAGTTTTTGTTAATCTTGCACATGAAGGATGTAAGTTCAAATACCTCGAATGGACGTTATAACGAAATAATGCACTTGCCAAGAATACGTTAAACTTTCCCCAGCATTATACACATAAGTGTTTTGAACGGGGAATGACTTTTACATTAGATAAATTAGAGGCAGCTAACAATGGCGACCGCTAACTAGAAAGTGAATCGAGCTGGTGCCGAGAATGGTCTTTCCGATCGTATCGATCTTGGGTTCGTTACCCCGTTCATTATTCTCTCAATCACAATACGACCATTTTACTTTAACTCAACAAGATATATCTCACGGTATGAAGTGGTAATCTATCCACATTACTCTAAATCTTAAACGACGTCATTAGCGAAAATAGAACCTATTTACAAGGAAATTCGTTTGATAACATTCAGATATAAATTTGATCTGGTTTTACATTTGCGAAAATAAGTGAGGTCAACGTTCACATTCCGGACACTGTCTTTTAATTCAAAGACTTCTTCTTTTATGGCTTTTGCCGCAACATGCAATAAATTAGCCCTTTACTAAAAAAATGGACATCTGCTCCTCTGGAAAAAATCCCTCCTTGGAAGTAAAAGGACGAAATTTACGATCCGTGTAACCGTGGGTAGACGGACCTCGCCCACGAGTCGCATGCAAATGGCTCCATTGAAGCGGAGCAGTGTGGATGCTAGGCAGGCATCAAGGAAGATTAAAACTGAAACACCTCGCGAACCTCTGTGGTCTGGATTTTCTCGATATCCCAAAAATTTGACTTCGCTTAGGCAGTTCGGCCTTTCTTGGTCCCATTCCAAGATACAATATGACGTTACCCCTTGGATCTACCGTGTCCTTGAGTTGTATTTTTTATGATAAAATAATTATTGTATTTTTTGAGTAACAATAAACCGTTCTGACGTTACTTAAACGCTATTAACACCTGATTAAGTAATGGAAATAGAAACGTATAAACAAAATCATTTGTTAATACATACTCGAATGTAGCTTAGTGAATTCGAAATGCTCTAATTTAAATCTAAAACGGTGTTCCTGATTCAACGCGACGAATGATGTCCAAATATAGAATTATTCAGTGCATCCCACATTCGTGGCTCGGTATATCGAAGCTAGAGTTTGGTTATTTGTGGCTAAGTTAATTCAATGAAATTACAATGCCATTGAACTATGTAGGTATTTCGTGCTTATTTTTTGTTTGGAGTCCATTATAAAAAAATATTTAACAAACCCCCTGTATTTCTGTAATGGATTCATATAAAACTGCACACATATTTGATTTGCCTTTTTCCTGATACTCGAGTTAAAAATAACTTCAGTGTTTTCCTTTTATTAATATGACATTCACGTTAGAAATGGTAACGAGAATTGCATAAAAGCAACAATGGAAAAAATACAGTCGTTCCGCCCACGCGACAGACTTTAGGCGCCACTCTATATAACGTAGCCAGCCATACATATAGGTACCTACGTACGTAGTCATACAACTTGGATGGCTGTTGCGGATACACTCTCATCTTAATGTAAATTAGTATTATTCACAGGAACCGCGTTGCCATGCATGCTTCATGAAATTGCTCTACGTAAGTTCTAAATTATCGCATGCGTTGCATATGATCTTTATCGTCGTCGAATTACAATCGATATATGTAACTACCTTGAACAGTGTTGCACAACATTTATTAGACCAGAACCAAGGAATCCAACTTCACCTTGCAATATAAGCTAAGCTGAAATATCAAGTTTCTATGCATAAATCTTTTTAGTGCATTATGAGCGCTGGGCAAAATGTTCACTTGGTAGCATGTTCTTGGTGTCTGTGACGTGGCTGCCGGAAAGTAGTGTAATGCGTCTAGTTGTAACTAAATAAATTCTTTAATTTTCAATCAAACATATTTGGCTTAAGCAGGGTAGTTATTAAATATTTAACTTACCTGAATATATATGTAGTTAAATTTAGCTAAATAATATTGATAGTATGATAAAGTTATTAAATGTATAATATAATTTTGAATTAAATGTGTTTATAATGTGCACCATATGGGTGATAGGCAACATAAACTAAACTATTTCCTTTTCAGTTTCCTTCTATATTTATCCCCAATGCTTATTTCAAGCGTTGTTTAAATGCGGTCAGATAAACTCAAAACGCGTATGTCTTGTAGCATACTTACGGACAGATATAGCAATTGTAAACTTGTTTTATAGCATAGTGTGTATTAGTCTGAAGTGGAAAGTGGAGCAGCATTGCACTTTCTCTTGCCAGAAAGCCAAGTGCTGCGCATAAGCCGTGTAAATCACATTGTAAAACACCAACAAAAAACAACAATGTGTGGCCATCTGACTACTCTTTATCCTTTTAAGCTGTCACATTATCTAATCAGCAGAACATGACGAAATTTCAGAATTAGTCATGCACCATACCTACGGCGGGTATATTACAAACGACGCTGAAAATAATGAACACGTCACAGAGACTGAGGTTTGACTTAAAGAAAAATAAATGTAAAACGAGCCTGTATTGTACAAGTGTGTACAGTTTACGGACATGCAATCAAAACTGGAGAAGTTAACGCGGTTGCAAAACTTACTCGTTATGTGTCAGTCCTACCCAAACGTTGTCTGTGTGCTGCACATTTACAAGCAAATGAAGTATTACTGAGTATACATAACTGATTACGTCAGTGGTATAAATATAGGAACACAGTGCAAGTTTTAACAAATCGATACTGTACTACGATCAACACACGTGACTGCTAAATTAAGATGAACAAACATGCCGCATTCGTCTCACACAGTAACGCATATTAAGTTGGTGTATTTTTCCTCTTATTAACTGGTTTCAATTATTGAAAACGTATAATATGGACTGCAAATTATGTTAATTTAAATGAAACAGCTGAATTAGTGATACGTAAATAAGAATTGTAAAATGAGATTGGGAGAATCGACACCAAAATTGGTGAAACTTATAGCATGTGTTGTGTAAGTGTTTTATAACAGCGTGGATTTAACAGAATTAAAATAGCGAACTGTATGAAACGTGCAGAGTTGGCGGGCGATGTGGCCACGGCGGGGGCGGCAAAACCGGCGCTCAAACCGGTTTGCGAAAGAGCCCTTCTGTCGAAGTCGGTCGCCATGCCGCCGCACGCTGAGGGCCGGTGCATTAGTCGGGTCATCTGCTTATGCACCGCATTAAAATCACGATTTCATAAATTCAAACACAAAAGGTAACTTTTATAGAGCCATTTATTCAGAGCAATATGTAGAGTTACAATTAGAAGTTGAAATTTATATCATTGAAGACGCCTGGTTGGACCACAGTGATACTCCTAAATAAAATAACATTAACTGTCTGCATACTTTACAATACAAAAATACACATCCGCAAGCTTCCATTTACTTAAATCGCAAACAAAGATATCTGCAGGTCAGTGCATACAAACGGTTCCAGCTTCCAGTGAGCCAATAGTTTTCGAAACTAAGTTTCTATGGCAGTATACTAAGCTGGACATAGATATTCAAAAGACGGAGCGGGCGAGCAAATTAAGCAATTAACATTTTCTTAAATGTTAGTGCAATATCATTAGTGTACAGACATGTATATGATTTTGTGTGTACACACACAGCTTGCAAGTCCAAATGTGGCAGGCTCACGGCATTATTTCACAACGCAACCAGTTTTGTGCATGCGATGTGGCGCGCACTGCAAAACAGCCTTATTGCTCTATTTGTTATGATGCCGGTGTTTTATGTTGCAGGAAATGAGCTCGTACTGTCGTTGAGATGTTTTTTCCAGTTACGATCCGGTTTGGTAAAATACACGTTTACCTATTCTGCTCCACATTTCAATTAAAATTTTCAGCAAGTCATTTAATAACTTAAATAAATAGCAGCCTTCAATTCGAATATTTTAACGTAGGTATAACTTTATTTAAATACAATAAAATATTATTGCATACATGATCGTAAAAACGCAGGACTATTAAGAGCAAACTGTTCAAGTATATCTGAATAACGTCTAGGTACTTTCGAAGCGGTCATTGGCGGATACAGCGTTATAATATCACTGAATCACCTTGCGTGGGTCAAGGTGGCTGACGAAGTGAATGTAAAATGGTGATTGTTATCTACACTTATCCAATGTGTCTTTGCAAGCCTGCGGGTAGAAGGGCGGCAGGGGGAGCGGCGAAACTTTCAAATGTAAAACGTTCACATTAACCATTTAAATGCATGTCGTTTTCAGACATTTATCTCTTATTTTCTCGACCAACTCTTATACTATACACCCGTAAGAGCTGGCAATAATAAACAACATCATTGTCCAAATATATATTTCATCATGTGATTTCTAGACAAGACATATAAAGAATAGATACAAAGTTAATTGAATGTCCATATAAATTTACAAGGGGTGACTATTCTGAGTAAATATTGATATTTAGTTAAGCTCTCTGGATAGACTTGTGTTCCCGTAGCTAGAAAATCTCATTACTTGTGTACATAGGTACGCTTGAGAGTAAATCTAGATAAGCCAAGTCTCAGATTCACGAGCAAACGAGCGCACTCTGCTCGAATAAAGTGACGTAAAGACTGACGCGATCAACTTAAGCACAAAGCAAGCCACAATCGGAACTGGAGCAATCAAGATACACAAACGCGTACACAGTACACAAACCAAACTTCATGAAAGGATACAATGAGTCAGACAAATATTTACTTTTTACTTGTAATTGAGCTTGACGCTCAAGTCATTTAAGTTAATTTATGTTTTACATAAGCAGTTAATAGTTTAGCAGCATACGTAATTAGAAAAGACTCGCAAATAGATCATTCCTATCGTGTTTTACACTTCAAAAGATCACAGTTTGATAACACCAGCTCCCGGATTTGAAAAAGAACCATTTGTAAAACTGTCGAGGTTTATCAAGCTTGCATCATTAAGGCTAGTGCATTAATTTTTTTCTCGTGTTGCAATCGCGCTGTCGGTCAATACTCTTTACCCCACTTGTGTTATTGCAAAGAAATAATAGGCAGAGTGCTTTCCCCAACCACCCCTTGATAGGAAATTGACGATTTTATGTTGCGATATCGCGTTAAAATTAACCCTTCGACGGATGTGACTCATTATGCAACTACCAGGAAATGTCATTAAATTTTCACGATGGCGTTTTATGTTACCCACGCCGCTGGTTTCGCCACTTCATGCATATTTATCAAAATAATGTTGCCGATTGAAAAGCTGCATATAAACACGCACAGAAATGCAGACTGAAGTCTATCGAATTAGACTTTAGTGTTGTTGTTTCGAGAGTATACTTTTGCACGGTACCTAGTCCAGGTTGCATATCGGAGGGCGCTTGTTGTCCGGTAGTCATTAGCGAACGCACCCTCTGCGAAGGGTTGAAGCGAGTTCCGCGAATCGTGCACAGTGTTGTGGTGACTCAGACCGCGATGGCGACGGGAAAATACCGATCGCGCACTCGATAACCACTTTCGATACAGCACGATTGCGTTACTTGCACAATATCGAACGACCTGACCAAATTACTTATTACAATGTTCGTACGGATAAAATCACTGGCCCAATAAAGTTGCTTTTGCAATTTTAGTAGGTATACATAAACGGAAGGTTGTTATCAAGTAATTGTAACGCTTTTTGCAACTTATGAAGTTGATTTTTTCAAGACGCATTATATTATTAATCATATGAGTACCTTCAAATGGAGTCTCATTACTGCATAATTCAAATTATTTTCATAAGCATAAAGCGACCCTTGTCTTCATAAATGTCTATTCTCTATGTCAACCGAAAACTCGACAAACTGTCTAGACACGTGATCAAAATAATAGTCTATTTGTGAAGCTGTACACAAACTAAGAGTTATGTGGCTTTGTCACAGTAAAAGTGAAATTAGAACTTTCTCTAGCCCGCGAAGCAGGAACAAACTATAGTCGGCCAAGCCTCGGGAGAATAGCTAGCACACGTCCACGCCAGGTGGCGCTCGATGCCCGCAAATTTACATAATTGGCGAAAAAAATAAAACGTCAGCATACCATACAACAATTTTTTCATTGTGTCAGAACTCCCAAGGGCCTGAATAAAACAGAAGCTCGGGACGGACGAGTTGGCGCTAATTTTGCCCGACAACGAATCGCCAGTCGAGCGATGACACAGTTGCTATACACATTAGGTATGCATATATGACGGCAGTTTGCACATTTTCTGCTAAATAATATTCTTCGATTATGCGTTTTTCAATGACAAAAACATGTTCAAGCATAATATCATAATTATGTTGAATAGTTATCTTGTATGTGGGTGAATGTTAGGTCAAGCGAATGGACGACAGACTAAAGAGCACATGTGCTAGGCAGATGTCGAAGTCAGGATGACTTTGAGACCAATGAAGCGCTCCAAATGGGCCAATCGAGCTCTGGTTAAATCCAAGTACACAATAATGGAATTTAATTTTTATCATCCATTACGAATTTGTAAATAACAAAGTATAGGTGTTCCTTTATAAGGCTTTTGGAGTTGTAATCAACCATATAGTTGTGTTTAACAATATAAAACTACAAGAAAATGTTTCCTTCTTGCGTTGATTCAAAAAGTCTTGTTGGTAACGAAGCAAATAGGCGCTCAAGGACTGAATAACAAACTTTTCTCATCCAATTTGTCGCACCTCATACTTTTATTCTCGGGAATGTACCTTTCAGCCTTATTACTCTGCAATATAGACCGAAAAGTAAGAAAATTGCTTGATCCGTAGCATTGTAAAAGTCGCCCGCTCTCGTAAAACTCCCACATATTTCACGACAAATAAACTTCTCATCCTATGAAATTTTCTTCTCGGGAGCAGTTCACTGCAGGTAATATTTCAAAACATGTGTCATTCATAACTTTCGCCTTCGCAATGTCTGTCGATGGAGCTCGGGCGAAAAGGTCTCAATAATAAATTTTTCGTGAGCCCGCTCCGTTATCCCCGCGAGCGAGCCCAGGTACGTTTTACGGCCGCGCAAGGGAAAATAAACGAAAAATAAAATAAAAGTCAAAATGGTCGACATAAAACTATCTGCCCAAATATACTACGCACAAAAAGTTTTGAAAACGTAAAAGGACTGATATTGCGCGTGTTGTCGGTATAAATTAAATTAAAGCCTGTGCCTGTGTATCGAGACGCCGGTTGATGCTTGAGATTAAATAAAATCTAATAAATAATTAATTTACGCATTTCTTTGTTTCTACATTTTAAAAAATGTATCGTATACTATATTTTGTGCTACACGCACGGATTCAGCATTTAATTAGTAGTTGTCGTTTAACGCTATCAATTTGTAATCCCCAATTATAAAATAACAACCAAAACGCAAATCTTAATTTGATAGTGTATCTCGAAGTTGTAACAGCGTAGTTGGGACTAAGTTAGTGATTTATAGAACCGTTAAGGCATTAGAGAATTTTATGGTACATACGGACATTACAGCGACAACAATGAGGACTGCTACCTCATAAAATACTAAACAACTTTTGTAACTACCCCGTTGCTGACGGTTGTATGAAATTTCAATCACGTCACAATACGACCACTATGTTATTACGTACTCTGTTACGGATATAATGTAGCTATTCAAAGATTACTCTAACCATTGTTACACTGGCAATAACTTACTATTACTACGTTCGGGACTTTATCAGACTCTAGTACAAAGGAGATGGAATTGAATATCAACACGATTTAGTATTCTTGTATGAATTTCTTATCTGCTGTCTCTTTAGTGTTAGGAAATATTGCTCACTTTAACTATGACTATAGTTTACGAAGCGCACTAACTTAAATATTAAGTTATTTACTTTCATCTTCCTCTCCCTGTCTGTTTTTATCTACAGGTACATATGGAGTAACTAGTTACGCTGAAATTCTGTGCTGAATGACAGATATTATAAAGGCCCCGATTTCATTAGGTACCCATGATTATAGCAACCGTGGTACTAGCAAACTGATATCAAAATGTCTATCACTAGGGTTGATTTGGTCGCCAGCTACCAAGTAAATAGTACATATTTAAAGAATTATAATCTACCGATATTATAGAACAGGACAAGGAACAGGCTTTAATCAGCAAGAGTCTGCACTCGCTCTCACCTCACCAGGGCAAGGATCTAGGGATTTTCTCTCACGAAAGAAGCCTAAATTGTAATACTTTTCTATTCTCATGTTAGATTTTGAATAGCACTTTTGACTTATTGCAGAAGTGGAATATAGTAAAGGACAGAGAACTAGAAAACAAGAATAATGAAAAGTGACGCCAAGAAAACACAGTGCAATCTTTTCTGATTTTTTCATTATTCATAAAATTACATAAAGATGTAACGTTATTGCTCAAACACCTGAGTAATCTTCTGATAATAGAACACTTAGTATTCATTTATTTCAAAGAAAACTTCCTGACTTAGTTATAATCAAGTTAATAAGAAATGTATTTACGTAATGCATAGTTGTATAAATAGATAATAGATAACGACGTTAGGCATTAGTTTATGCATCAATAAGACATGAATTGTGCAACATTGACAACATTGTACGATAAATATAATCTGCATCATCTGCATGTATAACTAATTGTGTATACGTAAGTTTGTGTATTTGTTTTGAATACTAATGTTTCACTATTTAAACTATTAATATACTTGATGACTCATAACTATGATAAAAAATATGTTGATAATGTGTCTTACACTTAGAATTAAAGTGAAAATTGTCATGGAAAGTATCTATTCCGTGTTTAGCCAGATACTGCCTGATACATAACTAATTCTGGTTATCATAGACAAAGTAGATCTGATGAGAATGGGGCCAGGGCGAGGGGGCGTTAAGTAGATGCTGTAAACAAACTTTTAGTTACAAATAAATTTCACCAATAGCGTGTAGTGTCGCGTGATGAAGCGCATTATGGCGTCGGGCACGTCACGGCGAGCTCCGTCGGCCGACCCGCTTCGCACGTGATAAACTGCCTCATATTACCTACCCGTTTTCCACTTGCAAGTACTGTGTCAACACACATTAACAAACATAAATATTTAATACATTCAATATTAAATCTGCTCGTCAATCGAGCTCAATGTTATAGTACGGCTCAAACTACAGCACGATGCTATTTAAACCCGGTATTAATCTGTCAGTCCCAAGTCCAAATATAAACTGGAGTATCGTCAGTGACGTTTATCATTTTTTGTTAACTGTTTTGCAGATTTTGTGGATAAAATGTTTATTGTAACTTTTATGAATATTTGAATGTATATTTCATGAAATGGGAGGATAAAAGTTTATTTTGTATTTGTTTGCATCTTTAGACATACGAGGGGTGGCTGATATATAATCTACTTTGTTCAATAAAGTTACAAAAATGATACTGGCCACTATGAAGCTTTAATACTTGTGTATTCCTTATTTGAAAATAATAGCATTCATTTGTTTTAATTGTTTTCATTACGAATAGTCCACTAACATAGTAAACATGTCGGATGAAAATAATAAAATGCTTAAAATTGAGCAGCGTGCCGTGATTAAAGTCCTAACTAAAGAAGGAAATACTCCTTCGCAAATAAAACAACGAATGTCCAATGTGTTTGGCGATTCATGTCCTTCCAATTTTGTTATTAATTTTTGGTCTAAACAATTTAAACATGGCCGTGTGAGTCTGGAAGACGATCCCCGTAGCGGACGGCCGGTTTCTGCAGTCACAGTAGCCACGGTGGCTCGAGTGAAAAAAATAATACTCGCAGATCGGAGAGTCAAGCAGTGGGAAATCGCTAGGGATGTCAGGATTAGTAAGGAACGTATTCACGTTATTATTCACGAACATTTAGGGATGATAAAGGTAAGCGCACGATGGGTACCGAGAATGCTGACGCCCTTTGATAAACAACGACGCGTCGAATGTTGTGAGGCATTTTTGGACCTAGTAAAAGACAGAGAAGAAGAAATTATCTTTAGAATAGTAACCTGCGACGAAACCTGGATTCGCCAATGGGACACCGAAAGCAAACTGGAGTCTTTACAGTGGAAATTTAAAGGGGAGAAGCCACCGCGCAAGTTTATCGTTCGGCCATCAGCTGGCAAGCTTATGGCAACAATTTTTTGGGATGTCGAGGGGATTCTTTTGATAGATTACATACCAAAAAATACTACGATGAACGCAGCTTACTACGCCAGCTTACTTGACCAACTGCGAGAAGTAATAAAATAAAAACGAAGAGGCAAACTCGGCTAAGGAGTTTTAATTTTGCACGACAATGCTCCGGTCCACACAGCTTTACAAATGCAAGGTCAGTCTTAAGCAAGAATGGCTTCACGGAACCAAACCATCCACCCTATAGTCCAGATTTGGCCCCTGTGACTATTTTCTATTTAGAAATTTGAAGAAAAGCCTAAGAGGGAGGCGATTTTCGACCGATGAAGAAATAAAGGCCGCTGTGGATGGCCATTTTGACGACCAATCCAAGAAATATATTTTGACGGTTTAATGTCGCTTATTGACAAATGTAATAAGTGAATTACGGTACCAGGGGACTATATTGAAAAATAAAAAAAAATGAGCTTCCTATGTCTTTTCTTTCTATGTTAGGTAGATAACTTTCCAGCCATCCCTGGTAATTATATGTCCGATATCTAAGATAGAATTATGGGCATCGAAAATAATAAGATGTTAAAGATGTAATATTATAATCGATAAGAAACGAGGGTCAATTTAAACAAGTATTTACTCCCTCGCATTTAATATTTTTATAGCATTCACACAATCGGACAGATTTCACTTTTCCGTGCTGTATCCACTACTAAAATATGTAAAACGTTACTACACACTAACAAAACTGAGTAAACCAAAAGGTAGATTTCTAAAGCAGCAATTATAATAAACAATTTATAACAGAAAGGTGTAAGAAGGGTTGATATAATTTGATTTCAAATGGGAATTTGTACTTGCGGACTCTACCTCAAACGGCATCCTCGGAATGAGCGTCTGTCTGTTTATCCCATGTCACAACATTTTACGTAATGATTACTGGGACCCGAGTCCCTTCAGAGACAGTACCATTGTTCTCATTTCACAATTTATTGTAATTTGTACGCGGTTCAGGCTTTTACACGCGCGTTGCCTCCCGTATAATTATTTGTTTTACTTTTAATTTAACAGGTGCCTTCTAATTGTGTTAATTTTCTTTTGATTTCTGTAATTTGACTACTAGCAAGTTTAAAGCCTTTTTGGAGCTTTGCTAGAAGAATCAAAGTCCATTTGTATTGTGTACAGCATTGCAATTGTGGACTATATGTGACGTTGAATAGTGTCGGTGTCGGAGGGCAGGTCGGAAACTCGCTGGCGCTCTACTGAAAGCAGGCAGACGTCAGCGCGCCGTGAGTGACACGTCCTTCCGCCACAGAGCTTTCTATACGTAGCTACCGCCACTATCTAGTTACGCCATGTTTGCGCTCCAGCCTGTCAAACAGCTGTAAAAATCTGCCCACACGACGTATAAATAAATGAACAAATTGAATAGGATAATGCTTTTTATGGTTAAACTTTTTATCTGCATAAAGCGAAAAGCATATGATTATAGCTATATTAGACATGTATCCGTATAAAATGAAAGTCGTGTCGCGAGTCCTACGCTCTAATAAATACGGAGCTCGAATGCGACCCTAATCGGGAAGGCAAAATGGCAACAATGCAAACAGGCGTGGTATCAAATTGTCGAGCATGCAAACACATTAAAGGGCGCCGAGTAAACGACGCTTAATGATTATCTATACATTGGTGGCGTACAGTAAAAAAGAAAACGTGGTAAAGGTAAATAAATGAGATATATTTCATTGTTCTTTGTTTTAGGAGGGCCGAGCGGCAGCTGGACGCCGGGAAATGTCGCTTATCTGACGCCGCACCTTTTGTCGGTAGGCGTTGACCCAATTCGAGTGGCACTCTGTCGCGGCGGCGGCGGCGGTGTCAACAACGTCTTCATTCGGATTATTTGAAACCGAATTAAACCTATTGATTGATTTGATTATCTCAATTATGTTCACTCTTACATTACACAGAAGAGTATAATTATTTAAATTGAAAGTTCATTTTGTAAAGATGTATTTTCAAGCAAACTTTTAGGTGCCGCGTTTTATTTATATTGACGTAATTAAAGCATTCTCTATTAAATCGTTCTGGAGGAGTAAAACTCGGCATTAGTTGGGTGCAAATATATAAAAGGTACTAATTCTGCGCATTTGCAAATGGTGCGGCACATTCACGCGATTAAAACGGCAAGTTTCTGCCGAGGCCGATCGCCGGCGCGATAGGTCGCGGGGTCAAAAATAGCGAGGGCCGTACCTGGTGCCACCCCGCGCCGTTCAATGTCAACTTTCAATCACGGCGGGCGGAAGGAAGAGGCCGAGCTCGTGCGGCGATGCCTCGCCGCGCGGGCCCGTACTCCACCGCAATTATTGCTTTGCGTTTTTTACGACGACACCGTACCTCCCTTGTCCCCCGCACCGTTTACATTTTGTCAAGTTAAACCTCTACCGTCAAGTATTGACTGTCAAAGCTGTGACACCCACACTATTATCCAAGGATAGCAAATACGCCCAAATATCTTTATCGCCTAATTATTACAAAAAAAAAAAAAAAAAAACAAAATTTATATGTAGAAGAAAGGCGGAATAGTTAGTACTAAGCAAGCAATACAAAAAATTGTTTACTGTTTTTGAAAATGTATTTTGCAGTTTAAAAATATAAACTGGGAAATAAATAAAAGTTTTATCACTCTTTGCTCCAACCTTTTTGCCCTCTTTGTTTACATAGCAGCGAGCAAAGCCTCTCCGTGCCAACAGTCGCTTTGTCAAGCGTCGAGTGACATTAGCTCGACCCACTGTCAGATAATTTGGAAACCAAATAAAATAATTCCCACCTCTATTTACTTCCGCAAATTGCAAGGGAAATAGAACTTTTGATTTTGATTTGAATGTCAAATTCATACCCTTAAATAGGTCAATTACAAGTAAATATATTGTTTAGTCAGAGAATAGAAGAGACAAAACCGATCAATCATTTTGTTCATCAGTCTTATTTTCGTAATGGGAAAAGATGTTCTAATATTGTTTTAAACAACATTATCAGCAAATATGGAAGCTAATGGTATGTAGGTGCGTAAAATCAGTAACGATATCTTTGCCTAGCATCTCAATCAGGGTGTTAATTACTGTTTAACAATGAGTGGACCAACACAGGTGTCTCATGTCAGAGCCGTTTGCCAGCCCATTAAGCAAATAACGAGTCCGCAGGATAAACTTGGAGGCAGTAAAGTTTATTAATGGCTCGATTACAAGCTCGACCCGAGGTGGAAAGAAGTGCTATCAATCAGTCAGGTGCGCGACGGTAGAGGCACCTACCCCCTCAGTAACGCTAATAACAAAATTCCGACGCCCCTGTTTGTTGCTCCAGAAAGGGGTGAAGATGAATATCCTAAGCGCTAGATAGGTTGGTTTCCATTCCATTGCGATAACAACGAAATCTTATGAATTTGTAATAATGTGAAGCTAGGTGATGAGTTTACTTGTGCTATCAACTGTCTTCTGTGCAATGTGCTTGTGTAAACCATCTGCATAAGATCATACCGTCCTGAAATAATGTACAATAAACACAAAAATGAATGGTAAAAGAAAATGAAACAGTAAGTATTTTGAAAAATCTGGTATGGCCGGTAAGTTAGCAGAAGTAGATAATGTTGATATTGTTTGTAATAGATACAGCGACACACGTAAAGTGGTGGCTGAGCGGCCAAACTACAGAGGCAGTAGAGCGCGGCTCGCCGCTGTCCGAATGGCTCAATTACAGTTAATTCGCAGCGCACACACATTCAGAGCGAGGTGCATGCATGTGCAGCGTCCGCATTAATGTATGTAAATGCATGCGACCGGCCGCGGCAGCCCGCCGACGCTCACAATATTGCGACATTAAACGGAATATGGCCGACGAGACGGACATTTTCGACAAAAGTCGACATTTGCAAACGTTATTCAGCTACTCATCTGTATTTAACAGCATTTTCGAATACTTATATCATCATTAGCTAATCTTGTCGGGGTCATAATGCCGACAAAATATTCATTAATATTTTACAAGAGCACAATAATACATAATATCAGTTTGGTCTAAAATGTTATTTGTCTGTAGGGGTCAATATCACTTAAGTGCGACCGAAGTCATCAACATATTGTAGCCACGAACGTAAAGGGTTCAGAAAAAGTCACGTAAGTCAGTTGACTGAAAGCTCAATACAAATCAAACTATTGTAGGCTGTATTGTAAGGGTAGAAGCAGCCCTTTAAGGTTCTATTTACGTTTAAAAGGGAAAACGTTTGACCATTCTATAGAACTCCATCTATACAACCAGGGGATATTTAAGACAGTCAATTTGAATCAGATCTGCAGAGGAAACGGGTAGTATAACAGACTTATTACCTACCTAAAAACTGTACAGCCTACTTAAAAAAAAAATTATGTCTCTTTGCTCATAAATTACAGAACTTTTCCTGCACCAAAAAACAGAGGTTTGATCGGCAATCGCGCACTAAACTAATGAAGAAGTAAAATATAAAAATGTTTTATTTGCCTTTTAAATATATTTGTGTACTTAGGTAGGTACTTAGTTACTTTTAAATCTGTAGGTCGTACTTGATTATTATGGGTCACTCAGTGGAGTCGAAAATATACAGGTAAGTAACACTGAAATGTAACCTCGTAAATAATTAACTTCTGTTTTGTAGAACCAAAGCTAAAACCATGGAAACAAGTTAGGAAACAAACGTATTTATGCAGAACAAACACATCAAGAGAATTGTTATTATTCAGAATCATGCGCATGACTCGGAACCCGGACGAAAAAGGTTAACAGACAGAGACGTCATTAGTCTGAAACAACATCCATTGTTATAACACTACTTTTGTGTTGGTATTTTGGTGTCGTTAAGCATAGACTAAATGACTGATTGAATGAAATTATTATACATAGGTATGTATACAAAGAAGGTTGTTTAAGTATATTCACAGATAGGTAGCGTGTAGGTATAACTATAGGTACCTACCTACCTGTCTATGTCTACACTAATTCTAGTGTTTACTTTTTTGCGAGGAAAAAATCAAATCATTTTTTTTTTCAGGGAGTTTCAAATCGTTATTAATTCAAAACGACCCCGCATTATATTATTGTGCTTGCAACTGAAACCGCGAATGTACTAATGTATGTATTTAGGGTGTTTTCTAATTAGTTTATGTTCTGTTAGTCTAATTGATAGAACCCAATTGGACGTATTTTCATTCAGCCAAGTGCCTATTGGTAGTTAAGTATGTCAACAAATAGTAACATACGGTTATTAACTATTACTTTACATTAAAACAAGTAACGAAATCGCCCAACAGTTGCAAAAACGCAACCGCTGAACTGAATTAGATATCTTTTGAACGAGAGTATTAAATTTGCAAAGCACATGGTTGTATTTAGGCAGGTGTGCTAACAAGTTGTTTACAGAAAACAATCGCTAACAAAGGGAAATCTACGTAAAACGAAATTGGTGAATGTTTTATTATTTATGTGAAACAAACAATGAATTTGGTAACTACAAAGCACGTTTATTTTGTTCGCAATTTCCACCAAGCAACGCCCCCTGTGGGAACTCGATGGTATTGTTTTATCAAGCAAGCATTGTCATGGTGATTCACTTTATAGTCAACATATAACCGGATTTATGCAATAAACTTTAAAAAACAATAAAATTCCATTAAATTTCATGGCGAATCACAAAATTACAATATGTTTCATTCTAGTAAAGTTATATTATAATCAAAATTTTGCACCGTAATAATGGTAACTGATGGAATCACATTGGAAATCGACAATAAGGAGCACAAACACAAAGATGTATAAAAACACTGAGTGGAAACTTTACAACAACATTCGATACTCTTCTAAAGAGTTTTATTCGGCTCTACAATCCACATAAAATGCTAAATGACTGAAATTGAGCATCGTACGTGATGTCAGAGAGGTTATGTTCGCGACAAACAAAAATATTAAGGCGTTTACCTCTTCCTTTTCGCTGTCCGGGGCCCGATACCACTGTATTATTGCACAGTTTCATTCACAATAACGTAATAATATATATATTAGTTACAAAATCGGTTTGCATCACAGAAATAACAAAATAAAACGGAAAACATTGAAAGCGGACAAGAAGCGCGACACGAAACGGCAAGCTAAGCAGCAGCTGACTACGACCGACAGCCTGACGTGACTTTGTACCGGCGTGCAAGGGTTGTTGTTCGCAATATGTTTGTATGGTATGAATGAAAAACTTTTAAAAGGGTTCTTAAGTAATAATAAATAAACTACTCTATCTAAGTTTAAAAGATTACTTTATAAAACTTAATTAAAATAAATGATATTTTAGTAGTTAGTTATGTAAAAAAATTATGCAATAATATTTTTTTTGAAAAAAGTCTAATAATCTAAACATTACGTATTTTTGAATTAATTCGAAAAATGGAGTTTAACATTAATATCAATGAATAATTGCGTGTACGTCGTTGCAAGGTTTATTGTACAGATGCGCAACGTGGAGGAGTGGTGTGGGCGCGCACCGCGTCGCTGGCGTTGCCCTCTAGCGGGCATATTGTGAATTATCGATTCTCCGCGTGCCGCCACCCGCCATTGGCTCTGCTCGGTAATTGGTTTATGTAGCCCGTTCGTAACATGAATTCAAATTTAGCGCGCGCTGGGGCTCTCGAATGAACAGAGGCGAGTGTTTGTACAGGGGAAATTACCCGTTTCAGATAATAAAATCTAGTAAAATACTATTCAAACTTTGTTTTACTCTCGGCCTGATGTTTCAAACAAATAAAATAATTCATGCATCCCTATGGGTTATAAATTCCACAATGAACGAAACTAAAATTCAGTGGGTACCTACATAGGATTGTCTCGCGCAATAATCGCATGTGTAAAAGTATAATAAAATTATAGATTGTTCGAAGAAAAATGTTCGATAATAGGTAAAATTATTTAAGTAATTGTAATTGTTTATCTATAAACTTTTTTACAACCTTTCTTATTTGAGTGAGGCATCAAACCTAGTTTTTGAATTAAAATAATTCAGATATTATGTATGTATGTATGTATGTAGGTAGGCAAGTAAAAAATGAATAATAATGCTGAATGAATTACTTAGAGCAGGTTGATTTGTTAGGAGCGCCGCGTACCAGCGCTAAATTGGGGCGAGGTGGTAGGGAACAGATATTTATGCACGTTAATAAGAACCAAGGCACAGACAAAGCCTGGGGAAGCAGTGTTAGAGGGACTATACATGTAGATAGGTAGGTTATGTTCAACTGATTCAACGTTTTGTTCCAAATTCAAAACCAAGAATTTTATTTAGTTTTTGACAGGTCTATTTTTTTATTGTTTTTTTACTATACATATTAAGTGATTGGTTTATTTTGATTGGTTTATCCTACACCTATATTGAAATGAGTTATTTCATTCCAAGTAATAAATGTGACAGTTTGTTTGTTTAATATTTTAAAAGATTTTTTTTTTAATTTTCTCAATAAATTGGCAAAGGTACTTATTGTAAATTTATATTTGGCATAGATATTTAGATATTCATCCGGGTGACGATAAAAACTAATTCATGTTTGAGAAATGTTTTTAATTTAGTTAAAACCATCTAAATAAAGTTCTCTATTAAAAATTATTAAAAAATACTTAGATATGACTTAATCGTGTAACTACTACAATATAGCGATGCCAGTTTCAATTTACTTTACCTACCTACCTACTTATTCTAACCGAAATTATGACTGTCTAATAACTTGTAAAGGATAACACTTTTTCCTTAGTAAAAAAGGAGTAAATAAAGGGGAAATAAAAATTGTGAACCCGGAAAAATACTTTTAAAATTGTTTATGCAAACAGTCCCGTTAAGATTACGAGAAAAAATAAAACAAAGGGTCTGACATTTAGAATCTTAAGGCGAATAAAGGAAAGAGTGATTGCACGGTGGCCAGCAAGTCAACCTATTCCAATCTGACAAATATTTCATAGGATTTTCGTCTTTATTTCAAATATGATAAAGTTGAAAATGTTATTGAGAAACAAAAACTTTTGAGCTTCGGCGTTATTTTAACGCTTACCTTAAGGTATACTTAGTTATTGAATGGCTAAATAGAAACTTTTTTCATCATCGTCATCTAGTCCCAGACTTTCCAGTGCTGCCTAAACCTCCTTTATTTGGGTTGCCTATGAAGTCCTTGTTGGTTGGAAATAGCAGATTAAAAATTTTAGGTTTACCAGAGAGTGCTGTTGTCTCGACAGTCCGACAGTCTAATAAAAGCAAGTAAAGACTCTTCGTTGCGTTCCGCGCGGCCTCAAATACGTAACAGACCATCGCAGACGGGGCCAAACTGGGCTGATGTTCAGCCGGGATTGGGGAAAGAGCAATAAGATAGCGCAGCCTTGACCTGGAGCAGGAGAAGGAATGAAGTGGTTTTTAGTCCGTAAGAGACTGACACTACCTGTACGACTTACCAATCTTACTCTAAAATAAAAAGGTACCTCAAGATCCATAGCCGTTTTTTACACTACCCACAGGAAGAGATGAGGTAGAATGATGAATGTATGCTAGTCTGTCACCACTATACGGCTTATTCCATTAAAGGGAAATAATAAATGAATAAAATAATATCAACCACGGCAACAATATGGCTCACAATCGGACTAGCCCGAATTCTAAGAACTATGACAGCATCTTTATATTGATTTTCCAATAGTAAATAAATACATGTAGGTTATGCCATTTATGTTAGATTTGTAGAAGAAGCTCGTTGATAACTTTTTAACGGTTTAGTAATGTAGTAGTAATAAAATTGACGAGGTAGCTCGATTTGTTTCAAACTACGCTAGGGGCTCGTGTTCATGAGCAGCATTGCGATACAACTGACGACGCGGCTAACGTCGTGGTGTCAAATTATTCACCGTTTAAGGAAAAGCGTTAAAACAGGATATAAAAAAAATTGGTACTAAAATAGTTTTGTTTAGAATTACGGGAATCATGACTAGCTTATCGATGATCTAATTTATTTATAATTCGATTGCTACAGTTTTGAAAACATAAGCGCACCGCAAGGTCGTATAGTGTTTTTAATTTTTAATGTAGACATTTGAATATTTGCACGATTAAAGCAGCACATGAAGATATCCTAACTTTTGTCAACGCTTTTGTCTTAAGGTTACATATGCTTTGTTATCATGAAACTTATTTTTTTAAATAATCTCAATGTCGTGCGTCTGTATTAAAATAAGTTCGTATCCCGAAGTTCTCCAAATTCGTAAAATTATCCATGACGTCAACATAATGCATGGCATTCAGGAAGGGGACACGCAACAAAAGGTTTTGACTTTATTTAAATCTAATAACCGAAGCAATGTTTTCAAAAGGGGTGAAGGGGAATTCAACGCAAGGCGGCAGCTTACAGGCCATCCATTTCTTTAAAATACAACATGCTTTGTTTCACAAATCGTCCACACAATATTTTGAAAAGAATAAGGCGGACCAGGTATTTGCCACGTCCGCTGCGATTGCCGGTTGTGCACCAACTTTTTTAATAAATAGAGGAAATTAAATGCAGACAATAAGAAAAAACTTCACCACTATTCAAGGAATTGTTTAAGGTCTTGAATCTTTGAATAATTGATTTCCTGCAACCTGCATTTTTTACAGCGTCACTCGCCCAACCACGATGCGGAAGTGCCTACTAGGTGCTTAATGCATAATAGACTTACCTAAACATTTATTTTGTATGTATAAAAGACATTTTGAAAATATGTTCCGTAAACATAACAAACCTGCCATGCTAGATTATCACCTCACTTGCAAAATGCGTTTAGTTGAGGAAACATTATTTAAATGAAGAAATCCGGAGTGAAAAAGTTAGGGGAAGTCTTCGCGTTCGCATGCATCGCGTGCCCCGATACACCAGCGCGTACAAAACTTTTGCACTTTGCAAAATGCAAAAGAACTTCATAACATCCAGTATAGAACCGCAGACGTCTATTTATGCAGTCTCTTTTTATACACAAATTAATAGTCCAAACGAAGCATTCGCTACTCATCACTAATTCTGCAAACGGTGTCGTACGATCATTACAGCGAGACCGGAGTTTCGAGTTGCAGTTTTCACGAATTAGAGCAAATAAGATAGAGGTAGTAAATTTATTTTGCCCGGGGTACGTAGTTGTGAATTTTGCACGGGACGGTGCATTATGCGGCGCACGTAGCTCGCTGTCTGCACGCGGACGGCGTGCGGGCGCGGGCGCGGGCGCGGGAGCGGGCGCGGTTGTGGCCGCGGCAAGCAATATTCAGTCGGCAGTCGTACCGCCCGCGCTTTCCTTCTCTTCTATCACCGAGTCTCATTTATTATTTAAAAGATCGCTACACTGAAACAGTCGTAAGTGAAGCTGACTTCTCCGAGCGTTCCCTTTATGACAAATCGATACTAGACATATACGATACGAGGAACTTTGAAATAACAATTTGCAGACTATGATCAAACTCTGCTTAAAACTCCAACTGAAAATGTTTAATCCGAAAAGCAATCTCCAAAGAGGCAATAGGAAGCGGATTCCGTGCATATTTATTGCCGGTCTCTAAACCGTTTCTCGGGTAATTCGGTACAAGCAAAGCGACATTATTTTTGTAGTAATTTCGGCGAATGTCCTTTAAAATATTCAGAGTGCTGTAGCTGAGCCCATTAACGTGCCCGGGCGCAATTCGGAGCGGGGACTCGTCCACAAATGGCGGCGATATCATTAACTTGACCCCCGCAACTATCCGTCGCCCCGCAAGTTTTTCCCAATATTACACAGGAGAGGTATTCGTGACGGACCGACACCGCATACGATACGCGGTACCCTTCCGAATTTGTTTACCTTTTGTGTGGTGCATACCTCTAACATGAGAGAAGGTTAGGTAATACACAAACCAAGCTGAATTTTCTTTTTGACCAAATTATTAAGTAGATATTCAAATGTATTTCCACGTCTTTGTCTAGGTTACTAGACGATGCTTAGTTAACTTAAAACACATTATAGCGTACCTATGATGTGAATAATTCGATGTATCAAAGGCCCACGAGGACCATGTATCAATATTTTCATTGTTCCGAATCAAAATTAATAATGGTTTATCAAATCTACTCTGCCCTTATAAAATGTACTTACGCGTCGGGGAAGATTTTCACAAGGAAAAGGAAACTTCCCCTCCCGTCTACACAAAATATGTG